AAAAAAAAAAAAAAAAGTGCAAGCTCCAGTTTCAGTCTGCCTGAGCATAGTGTCTTTCTAAATATGTCGTTTTGAACTTTCTAAGCATATTTTATCAATTGTAAAGCAGGAATAATAATGGTATCTACCTCTTACAGTTGTATTCTGGCCTTCTTGATGATCCATCATTATCTGATGGCCTAACGGATACTTAACACTGTGCTTGATATTAAAGATACAGAGATAAATCTAAGCGTGGTTCCTGTCTTCTGTGTTGTTGGGTGGCATTAAGCCAATTCTACTCATAACATCTCTATTTATAACAGAATGAAACATTCCCCAGCCCTGTCCCATTCTCACAATAGTTCTTATGTTTGAGCCAATTGCTGTAGCCATTGTATCAGTCCACCTCATTGAGGGTCCTACTCTTTCTCTCTGGCCCTCTACAAAGCATGATGTTCTTCTACAGGGACTGGTCCTTCCTGATAATTTGTTCAACACATTGTTAGATGACGTCTCACCGTCCTCACTTCTAGGGAGCATTTTGGCTATACTTCTAATACAAATTTGTTCATTCTTCTGGCAATCCAAGATGTATTTAATATTCTTTACCAACATCAGAATTGAAAGACATCAACACTGTAATTCAAACATCAAGTCTTCTTTGGTCTTCCTTAGTCATTGTCCAGCTTTCAAATGCATATGAGATCATTGAGAATACCAAGGCTTGGGTCAGGCACATCTTAGTCCTCAGAGTGACATCTTTGCTTTTGAACTTTAAAGAGGTGTTTTGCAGCAGATTTGCCCAATGTAATACAGCTTTTGATTTTTTGACTGCTGCCTCCATGATCAGTGATTGTGGATCCAAGTAAAATGAAATGCTTGACAATTTCAATATTTCCTATGTTTATCATGATCCCTGCCTTCTAGTAAGTTATAATCCAGTAAATAAACACCTTCTGAATAGACAAATGGGCATAACTGTTTTACTGCCATTAGATTATTAAAATAATTATAAAAATTAACAAAAATGCTATGTTAAAAAAATTAACAAAAATACTTAATAGATTAAGCATCTATTAAGTCAATGATACAATCTTGCTTGCTGAAAGTGAAGAGGACTTGAAACATTTACTTATGAAGATCAAAGCACAGCCTTCAATATGGATTGCATCTCAATGTCAAGAAAACAAAAATACTCATCACTGGACCAATAAACAACATTCTTATCAATGGAGAAAAGATTGAAGTTGTCAAGGACTTCATTCTTCTTGGATCAACTATCAACACTCGCAGAAGCAGCAGTAAAGAGATCACACGACGTATTGCATTGGGAAAATCTGCTGCACAGGAACTTTTTAAAGTATTGAAGAGCAGAGATTTCAGCTTGAGGGCTAAGGTGCGCCTGACCTAAGTCATGGTATTTGCAATAACCTCATATGGATACAAAAGTTGGACAGTGAATAAGGAAAAACGTAGAAGAATTGATGCCTTTGAGTTGTGGTGTTGGAGGAGAACACTGAAAGTGCCATGGACTGCCAAAAGAACCAATAGATCTGTTTTGGATGAAGTGCAGCCAGAGTGCTCCTTGGAGGCCAAGATGGCTAAGCTTCATCTCTCATAGTTGGACATATTGTCCGGAGGAAACAGTCACTGGAGAAGGATGTCATGCTGGGTAAGGTGGAGGGTCAGAGAAAAAGAGGAAGACCCCTAACGAGATGGATTGGCCAGGTGACATCATTGATGGCATCAAGTGTGGCAGCGGTAGTGAGGTTGGCCCAGGATCGGACATTGTTTCGTTCTGCTGTGCATGGGGTCGCTATGAGTCAGTTCCTACTCAATGGCATCTGATAACAAACAACAAGTCAAACTCCTGTCAATAATTTAGATACAGTTCAAGTTTGGCAAGCATTTTCTAAAAGTAGAAATTAAAATAAAATCTAAGAAATTCTGTTGCTAAGACAGATGTTTCTAGAATTATCTCTACAGATATTTCAAATGATTGAAGATTACAATGATTACGTTTACCACATTCAGAAAGAATATCAGTCCATCTCAGTTTTCACCAATTTAATTTAGCACTTCAGTGTTACTGTAATTTGAATATCAAGTAAAAACTTTAAGAATCTCAAATGCATCAATTCTTCTACATTCTACCTTATTCATTGTACATTTTCACATGCATATGAAATTATTGAAAATACCATGGCTTGGGTCAGACACACCTTAGACCTCAAACTGATAATCTTTACTCTTGAACACTTTAAGAAGTCTTGAGCAGCAGATTTGCCTAATGCAATACAACTTTTGATTTCTTGATGCAGCTTCCATGAGTGTTGACTGTGGATTTCAAATAACATGAAATCTTTAACAAGTTCCACCTTTTCTACATTTATCATGATGCTATTTCTTGGTCCTGTAGTGAGGATCCTTGTTTACTATTGAGGCACAATCCATACTGAAGCTGTAGTCTTTGATCATCACCAGTATTTTTTTTAAGTCCTCTTTGCTTCCAGTAAGGAAGGCTGTATCACCTGCATATCACAGATGTTAATGAATCTCCCTTTAATGCTGAAGCCATATTCTTTTTAATATAATCCAGTTTCTCAGATGATTTGCTCAACATGTAGATTGAATGGTGGTGGTGATGGCTGTGTGCTGTGGAGTCAGTGCTGACTCTCAGTGACCCTAAATACGGATTTCAAGGCTATAAATCTTTATGGAAGCAGAAAGCCTCATTTTTCTCCTGTGGAATGGCTAGTAGTTTCGAACTGCTGACCTTGAGGTTAGCAGTCCGACTTGTAAGTACTATGTTCCCAAAGCTCCTTGTAAATTGGATAAGTATGGTAATGGAATACAATCCTGGCACACACTTTTCCTGATTTTTTAAACTATCTGTATCCCCTTGTGCTGTTCTAACAACTACCTCTTGGGTTTATGTATCAGTTCCTCAGGAGAACAGTTAAGTGTTCTGGAATAACCACTCTTTGAAATGTTATCAATAGTATTTTAAGATCCACACAGTTTAAGACTTTATGCAAAGTCAATAAAGCACAAGTAAACACCAATATATAGACAGATAGATAGATAGATAGATAGACAGACAGATAGATAGAGACTGACATAGATAGATATATGTATATATATGAAATGATGTGTCCTTTTATGCCAAGACTTCAAGTGTCTGGATAAAAAACATTTCTAAAAAGAGAAAGCTAAGGGGAATTATCATTGAAAGTGAATAAAGAAACAATGACATATTTCAAAAGAAGTCAGGTTTCTCAAAGAACTTAATGATCTTTTATATTCCTGAAATGACCCACTAATCTGTGTGAGTTTTGTATGCATTAAAACCACACATCATACATAAACACCCAATCTTTATCTCTGCATATCATATAATTCTATCTCTCAACCAAGTGGAATGTCCTTACATCAGGCTTAAAATCATAGAAGCATGAGATTTTTGTGCCAGGGCACACTACAGCCACTTTTACAGCGGTAATTACATTTTCACCATATTTATTATGCATTTACTGAGACCTGACTCTGTTTTCAGTTCCAACAGGATAAAGGTCTATGAGTAATTTTCTTTCTTTTTTTTTTTAACTAAATGTGCCCTTCCCACTCAAGGCTAAAAGAAAATCAAGCTATTCTTATTTCAAAGATTTCCTATCTATTGTCATCCCACATCACATCTCAGCAAAACACTGTGAAAAGTGTTCTTGGAGTGTTATCAACTAAAAATTCTTCAGCAAGTATGGCTTTTTGCACAGGATTTCACACTGAATAATATAGTAACACCTAGAGATTCCTAACCCAGAGGGGAATCAAAAGAGAGAACATTTTAAGCGATATTTTAAAAACCATGACATGTATACAAGGAGCTTCTCAAATAGAATCCAGAGACTTCTGGATTTCACCAGTTTTCACCAGTTTCCTTGCTTGACACGACTTTTTTGGAATATGGCACCCACAAAAATGGTGGCTCTTCCAAAGTCTTGTGTTCATATTCTGAAAACATTCCATGGACTGTATCTCTCAATAAGAAGCCACTATGTGGAAAGTTATTGTTATTGTTGTTATGGGCTGTCAAGTTGGTTCCTATTCATATCAACCCAGTACAGAGTTTCCAAGGAGTGGCTGCTGAGTTTCAACCACCAACCTTGTAGTTTAAATGGACTTTACAGTCCAGTGCTTATCCTACAGTGCATAAGAGGACTCTGTGGAAAGTTATACGCAAGAAAAAAATAAAACTCCTATTATAAATAAGTCAAAACAAATGAGTAGAAAGACCCTTTGAAAAAAACCCAGAAAAAGTGATTTCTAGCTAGCTTACCTTGCTTTTTTTCATTAGCATTTTCTAAAGTACCAGCAAGCTGATTGCCAAAGCTGTGTTGAAGGCCACTGCTTTGTTTTTCATGTTGATGTTCTTCCTCAGCAATAGAAGAAAGCACATGAGGTGGGTTTTGGTCATCAAGGGTCTGGTTGGGCCACTGGGACATGAGAGAGCTTGTGTCCTTGGAGTGTTGGCCAATGCTGGTACTTGAACTTTGGGAAGATCCCTGCAAATTGCTTTTACAACATGAGAAATGATCCACTTCATGAAACAAGGACTTTCTGTCCTCTCGACACCTATCATTGTCTTTTTCTTCATCTTCAAAGTAAGTTTCCTGAATCTGAATATCATCTAAATCCTGGTCATTCAATTGAGAGTCTTGCTTGCTAAAATTAACCAGTGACACCGCTAATGTATCTCCTGCTTGCTGGAGAGCTTCATAAGCTCGAGACATCCAGGAAGACAGAGGCTGGAAGAAGTTCTGAGCATCCTGAGACTCCATGGCTAGCTAACACCATGGCCAGTTAGCTGATGTCTACAAAGTCCACTTTTCAGTTCCTCATGTTTTCTGGACTTGTGTGAACTACAGAATAAGCATGATGAAAAATTTAATTGGCAGTCTCTTAATGGCTGTGAATAGTTCACTCTCAAAACTTCTCAGCTGAAACAGAGGAAAGAAATACTTACACCTGTTAAAGTTAGAACCTCAGCACCATCACCAAATACCTACAATCAATTTTAAACAGCATTTGGAGACAAAAAGAGGCCATCAGTGAAATATTCATACAGTGAAATTAAAAATGATTTTGTGCAATGTCTAAATGTAGATTATTTCAATGTGTTGTCACCTCTTCAGGCATGTGCAAAACTTCCATTAGCAGTAATGGGCTCTATTCATGTGGACTGAGAGAAATCTATCCCCTCCAGACCATACTTAATAGTGTGAAAAGGATAAATGAATCTTCATTAAATATCAGTTGGGCATGACATTTCAAAATCCAAGAAAGGTTGGGTGTTCCATCTACAAACCTGCAGATCCCAGAGAGCAGGCTAATAAGCATCTTTGCCTCATGACTCAAAGATTTATCTTTTCTAAAGAAATTTGTGCCTGGAATTAAGCTTTTAACAAATTTTAACACATTTTAAAAGACGATTTTATATTTTATGCAATTTCTAGAAATTACATATATTTTTCCCATGGGGAGCAAATATAATCACTGAAAAATATGTGAGTGGCAAGAAAAGAATCTAGCTTACTGGAGTCATGACCTGAGAGTTCCTTCTTTTGTCTCTGTTCAAACTTCCCAAAAGATAGCTGCTGTCCAGAGCGTCTCCACAAGACTCCTGAGACAGACTCTTTACACAAGATTCACAACCAGACAGAAGTAGCTAGGCCATCAACAGAATAGTAGACCCTAGAGAAAAATAACTACATATATATGTGTATGTAACAGGTATGTGTACATCTTATGGCCTGTATATATAATTTAACTGAATGCTCACAAATTTCCATGAAGTTTGCAGGTAGTATTATCATCATCAATTAAGAGATAAGGAAACAGATGATTTTTCCCAAATCTTGAAATGTTATTATCAGAGGGGTTCAAGTCAGAATTAGAAATACAGCTCTCCTGTTCCCTTTCCATCAGCTACTTTTCCCACGATGTCATAAAAATTACAGACATTTGGCATGTACAAAGCGGCTTCAAAAAGTTGGTGGAAATTTTAAATTATCATTTAATTCCATCTTTCCACAAACTTTTTGAAGTCCCCTCATATGTTTGACACCACCACCATCTCTCCGTTTAAACTAACACAAGTCTTTATAGAACCAAAGTTACTTAAATTTTAGGTTTTCTATTCAATTTTTGGTGACGACAGAACGTATAGAGTACTTGTTACTGAACTTACTTGTTCTAAGGTGATTCTAAACATACTCTTTGGAGACAGAGTAAGGTGGTTCTCTGTCAAGTAAATTCCAATGCATGGTTACCCTTCTTTTCTTACTAAATGCATGGAGACTGCAAGTTTCTAAGAGATAAAAAGCATGATAAAGTACGGTAAGTAACTGGATTCCATATGTCTGATTTATGGACAACTGGTACTTGCCCTTTAAGGCTAGGTAACATAACGCTTATCTTGAAAAGAATGAGCCAACCCGATTGAAACAAATTCTTCATCACAATCACCTGCATTTGCTGCATGTGTAGCTTTTAAAGTATTGAAAAGGTTTCGAGCCTTTTCTTGCACTAGAAGTCCTGGTGTGGCACAGTAGGATAAATTCCGGGCAGCTAACTGCAAGGCTGGCAGTTCAAATTCACCAGCCGCTCCTCGGAAAGCCTATACATGGTCGCTATGACTTGGAATCGAGTCAACACTGAAGGTTAAATAAGAACCATATACACCTCTTTAGCTTACTTACACATCTGACTGAAAGGCACACTTAGAAACTGGTCTCATTCGTAATCCGGGACTGCCTGTACTTTTGAGGAAAGGTTGGAACACAGTAGCAGAACCTTGACATTTCCACAGCTAGTCAATAGCTGAGGATGAATATCATAAATGACTGCAGAGCTTAAATTCACCACTTGTATTTAATTGCCCGATGACTTTCATAGCAATGGCTTTGTTTTGACGGAAACTACTAGCAATCCCTGAAGGCGCTCTGGTTACGAATCAGGCTACGAACCGCAAGGTCAGCAGTTCGAAACTACCAGCTTTTCCGCGGGAGAATGATGAGGTGTTCTGCTCCTGTAACGATTTACAGCCTCGGAAACCCAGTACAGGGTCGCTATGAGTGGGAACCGACTCCACGGCACACAACAAAAACTAGCAATTCCTAAGGTTTCAATCCCCCTTGACCTCATGTTACTACATTTTATAGGATTTCCTGTACACACATTCATTGCTTACATATCTTCAGGAAACATCTAACCACATACATGCGGGGGCTCCAAAAAGTTTATGAAAAAATAGAATTAAAAGATAAGAGGTAGGTTAGAAATGTAAAGGTAGACGTTTGGTAGCAAAAGGAAGGGAGTGGTTGACTTTCCAGTCCAGGAGCAGAGAGGTTCCAGGGACCATTAAGGAGAAGAGTGGAATGCGGGACCCTATCTAGAGAAACAGTGACACCAGAGATAGAGGCAGACAATGACGTGGAGAGATGGAGCGGCTGGAGACTTTAGACCCAGAGGCTGTGTGCTGACGACTGGGGGCAGGCTGGCAGGGTATACCGTTTGGTTGGTTGATGATGCATGGAGGGATTTGTAACCATGATAATGAAATGATATACGATAGGATGAATGTAAAGCTAATGTTCTCCCATGTAAACTATCACACAAGTCACAATAAAACATTTAAAAAAAAAAAGATAAGGGAATTTTCCCACAAATGTTTTGAAGCCCCTTCATGTGTCTGTGCTCCCATCGGGTTTTTTTTTGTTTTTTTGCTTTGTTTTTTTCTTAAAAAAGGAAAGCAGCTCTCATTTTGTTTAGTATTCCCCTTGTTGTTGTTGTTATGTGCCGTGGAGTCGGTACCGACTCATAGCGACCCCTGCACAGGGTTTCCAAGGCTGTTAATCTTTTCGTGAGCAGAACACCTATCTTTCTCCTGCGGAGCAGCTAGTAGTTTCTACCTGCTGACCTTGCGGTTCACAGCCCGATTCGTAACCACTACGCTACCACAGCTCCTTAGTATTCCCCCTTAATCACTTCAAAATCCCAAACCCAGGCTCTTGTAACTCTGGATCATGGGTGGGATATAAGTAGAAGAGGCAGAGGCCATGACTCCCCGTGAGCTCTTGGGCAGGCAGCATCCACTACTAACGCAAGAAAAATATTGGGTGGGACTGGACTCCCTCCATTCCTTCTCTTGCTTGCTTCCTCTCCTTAGGTTCCTGTCCCACCTTCTCAACTGCTGCTGCTGCCACCCTTGCTCCAGCCTCCAACTTGAGCAACAACAGCAAAGGCAAGCAACAGCAGTAGCAGCAGCTGAGACAAGAACCAGAAGCAGGTTTCCATAAGGTGGTTTTTTTAAGGTTTTTTTATTGTGATTGAGTGAACATTTACAGAGCAGATCATCAGTTTTACATTCAACAAATCATACACCTTGTTTCATTACATGATTATAATCCCCTCCATGTACCATCAGTTAACAGTATTTCTCTCTATTCACTTTAGCTCTTTTTTTAAACACTCAGACATATGTAATAATTTATACCACCAAAGGGTACATTCTGCAAGTCTGCCTCCTGGCCACCAGCTCTTAGTCCCTCACTTCCCATGAATCTAGAGTCCTCAGCTGCTCCCTCTCTCCATGTCCCCATCCCAGCCTCCATCTCTGGTATCGCTGCTTCTCTGGATAAGGTCTCACATTATGCTTGTGCTCTTCTCCCTTGATGGTCCTAGGGTCCTTTCTTTCTGGACTGTAAGATTACTCCATTTTTGTTACAAAACTTCTACTTTTAGTCATGATAACAATTATTCACTATTGAATCATAAGAATCTTATCCCCATCTCTTTTAATCAGACCCATCCAAAGATGAAAACTATTCAGTGGGGACTCTTTTTTCCCCACACTATTAAACTAAACTCCCTCTTGAAATCTTGTAAGCCAGTCACTTCGTGCCTTTATCACCCCCTCATTTTAGGTAGCCAATGTCTGAATTGCCCATCCCTATCTACCCTGTGTACAGAGGGGATAGCATTGATACTTGATATGAAGACTCCTTCCCTTTCTGTTGGTATTTAGAGTTACTACCTCCATGGGTATAGAAAAAGTTCATCAAATTATAGCAATTTACCCTCGTTTCCTTTATCAAAAATTGTGAGGATTTTTCTTGTTGGTTTTTTTTATCCTCCCCTAGTCGAGTTCTGATTATGAAGCCAATGAGGCTAGGTCAAATGGGTACTATCTGCAACTTTGGGTGTTCTTGTGTGCCTCCTCTCACTCCATATCAGCTGGATGTTTCACTCTCAGCTCTAGCCCTCTGTGGTTATGTCCTTGTTCATAGACTCAGGTGTTTCCAGGTCTCACCACACTTTGGACCAACCAGCCCTTCCTCTTCTCTCCCTCATTTACAGGTCAACGGGAGTCTGTGGAACGTGGCTGAACTCATCCCATTTCTTCATTGCTGCCTTTCCCCCTCTTCCATTCACCAGTAGACCAATGTGGTGGTCAGCAAGCTTGCATGCCTGCTCATGTGTTTCCTTTGAGTTTCAGTCTTAGAGGGGGTTTTGTCCTGTAGGAACTTGATTGCTTGCCTTGATGGATTTCCAGAAAACAACTTGCTTATTCTTGTAGTAGCCAGTCATACTGCCATTTTTGTTTGGAGTTTTTCCTGATGGTCTTTCTTTGAAGATGTATCTTCTGTCACTCTAGCTGTTTCAGGCTGGTCTGCTTGTCCTTTCTAGTGAAAATGTCCCACCTCAGAAGATTTTGGACGGGGCTCAGGATTCCACCTAAGGTCCTATACACTGCAAAGGCTCCACAGGAGGCCTATTTCACTAGGCAAGTTCTAGAACCCCTTTTGGGTATTCCAATCTGTTATAGGCTGAAAACGGGCTTACAAGCTT